AAAAAAAAAAAAGTTAAAAATTATTAAATTAACCAACACAACTTAAATATCAACCAAAAAAATGCAAACAAAAGACCAGGACTAAGACAACTAAATGAATACTAAAATAAAAGCAAAAAGACAAAAACAGACAAAATCCAAAAACAAGGAGCAAGACAAGAACAGAATTACAAGAGACAAGACTAGAGCACAAGATCAAGGAGACAGGAACACATACTCATCCACAGACAGAGACAAACACAGTGAAGGAAAGAATGACCACAGATCGGCAAAGACAGTAGGGCAAGGGGCACTATAAATAGGGAGGAAAACACACGAGGACCAGGTGAGCACAATTAGACCAACAAGGCTAACAAGAGGGTGTGGTAAAGAGGAAACAAGGAGGAGGGGCTAGAGAAGCACATGGCTGAGAAAAACAAACTAGGCCATGTGCTGACACAGGACAACAGACACAAGAAACAAACACAAGACAAACGGGAGTGTCAGGGCAGAACCCTGACAGTTATTGGCATTAATGCACGTTACTAAAAGAGTCATTCCCATTAAATATGGTTGTATTCATTATTATATTGTTTTATATTACATTATTTGGTAGCACTTTACAATAAAGTTCCATTTGTTAACTACATTAGATAACATGAACTAACAATGAAAATAGTAATAAAGCATTTATTAATCTTAGTTAATGCTGATTCCAACATTTACTAATACAGTATCAAAATAAAAAAAAATGGACTCTGTTAATGTTAGTTAATGAACCTGAGCTAAGTTGGAACAACAATGAACAGCTGTATTTTTATTAACTAACATTAACAAAGATTAATGAATAATGTAACAAGTGTATTGCTCTTTCTTAGTTAATGTTAGTTAATGCACGGAACCTTATTAAAAAGTGTTACCGAATATTTTAATACTTTATTCAGCAAACATGCATTGTTGATCAAAAGTGACAGTAAATATAATTTATAATGGTTCAAAATATTTATTTCAAATAAATGCTGTTCCTTGGAATTTTCTATCCATAAAAGAATCCAGAACAAAAATGAATCACTCTCCACAAAAATATTAAGCCGTTAAAACAGCAACTGTTTCAACTCTGAAAATAACTGTTTCTTAGCACTGATCAATAACAGAATAATTTTTAATGCATCATGTGACACTGAAGACTGGAGCAATGGCTGCTTAAAAATTTAGCTTTGCCATCTCAGGAATAAATTACATTTTAAAGCACATTCAAATAGAAACATTATTTTAAACTGAAATATTTCACGATATCACCGTTTTATTTACTGTATTTTTGATTAATTAAATGTAAAAATAAATGGTTAGCATAAGACATTTCTTACAAAAAACAATCTTACTGACCCCGAACTTTTGAACTGTAGTATATAGATACAGTTGAAATCATAGTTTCATAATTGTTACAACCCAAAAGTGGGTAGAATTTGAAATGTGCAATTAAACGGCTAAACAAGTTTGTCATTGCCACTGTCCAGATGTCATATCTCGGATACACCCAAAGTATAGGGTTGCCACCCGTCCCTTAAAATACGGAATCGTCCCGTATTTCAAATGAATTAAGTTTTCCTCATTTTAACCCCCAAATATATATATATATATATATATATATATATATTATGTTCTCAATAATATTTATACTTTAATTAATCTGCTT